ACTTGGAACTTGTCTGGCAAAACTTTTTTGGAAGATTTTAATCAGATTTCCACCCGTTGAGCCGCAATTGTTGATTTCTTGTGAGAGGTTGGGCCCCACCTAACGGTCCAAAAACTGATGAAAAGCTGGAAAAAAATTCTACCAGACAGCCTCTAAAGATTTAGGCCCTTGTGATAGAGACTTTACATTCTTTGGTTCGTCGTCTCTCCACCCCTTCCCATCCAAAGTCCCTTCTGTAGATCAGTTGAACTCGCTTTTAATTATCCTTTTTTCTTTCTCTTGTCTCATTCTCATTCTCTTCTCTTAACAGCATTTCGTTCTTCTGTCAAATTGACTTGAATCTAGGAATGTACAAATATTATGTTTGCTTCAACTATGTATTAAAATGCTTCGTTTTCTAAAATTAGGATTTGAATAAATTTGTGAAGCGGTTTGGCATGAAGAGTGTGATGTGTTGAGCCTGAGGGAAGTTATCTTACATTGGCTCTTAAAGATACTGGACGAGTATGTGGTTGACTGAGCTTGTTTTCAGATCTAGTGTAAAGCTATATATTTATGATTTATGTAACCTTCCACATCTGGGATAAATGAATGTAAGTATCAGAATGACTCAATGACAACTGAGCCTCCATTTGGCAAATTTATTAATGGTTTATAAAGAGGAATTATTGCGGCTCCCACGAAATGTGTGGATAATATTGAGTAGTAGTTATGAATATGTGGTTGAAATTAATGTTTGTTTTATCTATAAACCATTTATATATTGTTATCCAACAGAGGCTAATATATTGTTTTTCAGGTGCTGGATGCGGTTTGTGAAGCTGAAAGGAACCACACATGACTTGGCAAAAGCATATGCATCTTTGGAAATCAATCGAAAATCTGTCGATTTAATGCCATTTGAGAGACTTGCTATGCTGATTGAGTCTGGCGCTACCATTCAAACTGCAAAAGCTTTACTTGACCGACTTGAAAGCCGCATTGCTATTAGACAGGAAACTGGTAGTGCCAATAATAATTTCCATTTGGAGAACATTAAACATCTGCTCAAACGAGTAGCAATGCTAGGCAAAAATGTTGGCACCCCTAATGCTTCCGGAAGCACAGGGGTGAAAAAAATAGGATCTAGAAGTTCGGTACCTAATGGTTCTACTAGGTTACATAGGTATCCAGTGCGAATTTTTCTTTGTGCTTACATGATTTTAGGACATCCAGACGTTATTTTCAGTGGGAAGGGGGAGAATGAGACTTCTCTTGCTGAGGCTGCAGAAACCTTCATTAAAGAGTTCGAATTATTGGTTAGAATTATTTTGGAAGGGCATATTCAGTTTACATTAAAGGAATCAGGCTTGCCAACTGCTGGTCAGCTGAAATTCAGTTCCCAGCTGGAAACATTTGATAAAGCTTGGTGTTCTTACCTGTATTGCTTTGTCATGTGGAAGGTTAAGGACGTCAAATCTTTAGAGGAGGATTTAGTACGAGCTGCTTGTGATCTTGAGGCCTTGAGGATACAGACTTGCGAGCAGATCCCAGGTAGAGATAATGGTGATCATAAACTCATGAAAGTATTCCTTGATCAGGTACGAGCCAGCCCAAGTTATGTTCAGTCATTTTCTTTCAGTTAAATCCTTTTTAACTGGGTATGGCTTTCGTGTGCCATCTTTGTTATTTTAGGTGAGTGAGAACCTGAAGCTTCTGCAGTTGAAAATACAGCAATTGAGTGGTAATGCTGGGCTTGAACGTATGGAAAGTGCTCTTTCTGATACACGGACGAGGTTTATTGATGTCATGGTGCTGGCGAGTTCACTGGCATCCTCATCTGATCATGGTTTTTCAAGTGCTGTTGGCTCATCACAGAGCTCTTCAATTTGTGATTCTAGAGATGATAATGTGGTGGAAGGTCATAATAGGGTGGGGGACATTGTTCCCTCTTTGTCCAAGGGGGATGATTCCTTATTTGGAGAAATTGGTTCTGCTACTCATAGTGTTTTAGATGATCATCTGAGCACCAGTTCGAGGCTGGTAAAGGATAATGAAATGCTTGTCAATGAGATTGTCCATGGGATTGATAGTGGTTTAGTGGATGGCTTGAACGTCACTAATGATGACCTAGGGAGCATCAAGGTTAGCATAAATCACTTTAAGCTTCCCCATCCCTGAGTCACGCCTGCCAAAAAAGATATATCGAAGAGTTCCTGTCCTTGGATTCTTGTTCATTAACTGTGCTTATGTTTTGTATGGTGTAGATAGAATAATGTAACATCATTTTGATTTTATCCTTTGTCATTGTGTAGACAAAGGTGAGAGACACGATGGAGAAGGCTTTCTGGGATGGTGTCATGGAATCTTTGAAACATGACAACCCTGATTATAGCTGGGTTATTAAGCTCATACAAGAAGTCCGGGATGAACTGATTGAAATGGCTCCTTCAGGTTGGAGACAAGAGATAGATCAAAGCATTGACATGGATATTCTCTCACAGGTTTATAATCTTAATTTTGATATTATTAAGCTTGCAACTCCACTTTCAATTCCTTGTATTTAGCTTTACTTGGAAATTCTCACATTTTAGTTCCATTTTTTCCTTATTTAGGTGTTGAAATCTAGAACATTAGACATGGAATATCTTGGAAGGATCTTGGAGTTTGCATTGGTCACATTGCAGAAACTTTCTGCACCTGCTAAAGAGGATGAATTGAAATCTACTCATTACAAGCTACTGAAAGAACTTACTGAAATTTCTCAAGCTGGAGATATATCTACTGCTTCATTCGCTACTTTGGTGATTAGGGGCTTGCGTAATGTTCTCCAGCAGATTCAGGTGCGTTGTCAGGCCCAATGCCTTTAATCATTTAAAGTTTCCTGCTTGATATTTTTTTTCTGGTGTTGAGCTTTTGATAATTCTTGTCGAGGTTATGAACTGTAGTTATCCTTTTAAACTGTAATTCATTCTGGTTACCAAGAGGTGTATTTATATTGCTTTATGAAGAATCAATTGCACTTTATTAAATTTTTGTATTGGTGGTCCATTGTCCATCCTAAAGTGTGGCAAAATTATCTGTTTCACCTAGTTGACTTCTATTTGAGCAGAACATACTAATGTTCACTGTTATATTCCTACGATTATGAGAACATAATGTGCTGGATTTGATCGCTTTATTGTCCATATATAATTTTAGCGTTGACAAAACGCAAGTTATTTCTTGTGAGAAAGAATTGGAGTAAGAATGGGATGCTCTAAAAAAGTGCATAAGAAGGAAAAGTGAAGACACAAGGAACCGTATATCCTGGAGAGGGATCTAAGAACCAAGACTTTTTGCATTTTACATTTCTTATGTTTTGGAATCTAAGCAAGAATCTGTGTTATACATTGGCTTCTCAGAATTTTGATGTGTTATTAGGACCTTTATGGAGCAAACCAAATTTTATGTTTTTTTCCCTTGGAGTGCTTTGCTAATGAAATTGAGATGCTGCTGGTGTCTTGGTCCACTTCCAGGAACTTTTTGCTTTAAAAAATTTAACTTTTAAAAGTGTATGGGTTTAAAATTATACACCAATCATTGGCAGGAACTCAAGCATGACATAAATAAAGCACGCATCAAGATGTTGCAACCACTCATCAAGGGGCCTGCTGGTTATGAATACATTAGAAGCGCTTTTGCCAATCATTATGGATCTCCTATTGATGGCCCTCGCTCTTTACCCTTTGTAAAGCAATGGCTTTCTGCTGTAATGGTGGAGTCAGATCAGATCTGGGACGAACTCTTGGATTCTCTATCAGCTCTGGGATTAAGTAACGGAAGATATAGTCAAGAACCTTCTCCTACAATGCTCCGGACTGGAGGTACCATTTTAAGGACATCGATATTCAATGTTCCACCCAACACTGTTGCAGGTTTGTTTGGTGACTTTGGCCTTTAATTTTTCTTCATTCCGTGTACTGTTTGCTTTACCTGTTCCTTTGACATTTTTAAAATCCTTGTGAAACTTTCAATTAGAGAACATTGTATTGTTAACAATTTCATTTCAAAAATGTTTCTGTAGAAGCTGAACAACCAGAGTGCAGTGGAGAAAAGCTTGATCTCTTGTTGAGGCTTGGTTTGTTAAAGCTTGTGAGTGATGTTGAAGGGTTGACGGTTGAAATGCTCCCTGAGACATTTAAACTAAATCTCTTCAGATTGAGGTCTATTCAGTCTCAACTTCAAAAAATAATTGTCATCTGTACTAGGTGAGTGAAATCCTTACATAATTTCTCTTGGTTTTGCAAATTTTATTTTCTGTTCAGCATTAAATGTGCCCTAGATAAGTGTGAATAAAAATCCGTAATGATCCTTTTCCTGAAAAAAAGGAATTAAAATTGTCTTGCAGCAGTATCAAATGCTGTTTGATTTAGAATTCAACACATATTATGTGCCTTCTCTTTATTTGAAATTCCACTTTCCACTTTGGAATTGTAGCTCTGTTTAATTTGTTGATTGCACCTTCATAGTAGGCTAGTTAATGTAGCCTGGTTTGATCATTTGATGTTATATGGGAAAAACTATGCACAATATTTTTTCGTGGAGTAAAGGAAATAGAAATTTGTAGAAACGTTAGATTGATAAAATTTGAAATTTAATACTAATTTTTTTTTTTTTGCTATTCACCGTGCGAACTAAATCGGAAAAGAGGGAAGTGTATCATTTTACTCAATAAAATTGCTTTTTTGCTCAAAACTTAAATTTCTATTAATCAATTTAAATTTTTGCAAAAATAAGAATTCCTTCATTATGTATTTTTATTTAGTTCAACATTAATTATATACTCAATACTCAACATTAATTATATACTCAATACTTCTTTGTTGCTTATCATTTTTGTGCAAGTCTATATGTAAGATTTTCGTTATAGTTGAATTCACTGAGGAACTATTTAGTTTCTCTGCAATGTAATTGGGAGCACCATTGTAGCTACTATGACATTTTGGCGTGCGATAGTTACTATTATTATAGTTTTGGGTTCAATGATAGCTATTAAATATCTTGTATTAGAGTCGGGAGGATAATTTTCCGGTAGATGGTCAGAAAACGAATGAAAAAAACACTGTTCCTCACACACAGTTTTCTTTCCATGTAGGCTTATTCCCTACTTGTACCTAGAGATTAAAAGCAGGAGATGCTATTTTTTATATTTTCTTTAGATAGTGCATATTGAACTATTTTGTTGTAAGGCTAATGTGAAATTGTGTTTTTCAGCATATTAGTTTTGCGGCAAACCCTTGTGAGCGAACACCTGGTAATTAGCCTCAAAGACATGGAGAATGTGATATTCAACTCTGTAAAACATCTGTCTGAACTCTTTGATCGCTCCGAGGATGTCGGATTATCAAAAATTGTTGAAACAATAAGCTGGTCTCCAGAATGTGAAGACCCAGAAAAGACCCGAGCAAGGAAGGAGGTTATGGCGAATATGTTGGGAAGGAGCTTAAGAGCTGGTGACGACATTTTCACACGAGTTTCTCGAAGTGTCAACTTAGCGGCAAGAGGAGTTGTGCTTGGTGGGACTGGAGCTAAGGGTCGGCAACTAGCGGAGATGGCACTCAAACGTGTTGGGGCTGCTCTTCTCATAGATAAGGTGATGGATGCTGCAAGAGGACTGGTGGTGATGGCAAACGTCTCGGCCAGGGTTCATGGAGATTGGTATGAACAAGTGCTCATGAATATGTGATTATTTGTTTGCGTCTTTCTCATTAATCGTAAAATTGTGGGGATTTATATATAGTAGGAAGTAGATGTAAGAGTTACTGCTTTGTGTGTGAGGTGTGGTGTGTGTTCATGTGTTTGCACATTATCATTTTAAGGGAACCACTTGGCCTTACTAAAGCTGTTGTATTCCAATTCTGTATAAGTTGTGACAACATTCAATTTACCCTAGTGGCGAATAAGGGGGAAGGCTACCATTCCGCAAGATTAATTGGGTAAAGTTTGAATATTTGAGTCATTAAAAAAATGAAAAAAGAAAAATAAAAAATCGAAAGATAGTTCAGTGTCTCGTCTTGATGTGAGGAAGAAATTTCATGATACATGTTGTTCCTTGTTTTCAAACGTTACGTTGTAGTGCTTAAAACATTTCCTCATTCTGAAAAAAGACCATTCATAAATATCTCAACTACTCGAATAATTTTTCATAGAGATAATTTTGTTCTGCTGCTATTCCTTAACTTTATTTCATAAAAAGAACGATAACGCAACTCTTTTTTAACAGATGGGTGACTTAATTTTTCTGTTTCTATTTTATTTTTGGTTTTTTTAATTGGTTTTTATATATATGAAGCTGAACATGAACCATTTTCTCAGTGAATCTGATTGATTTTCGGTCAAAAGACTAATTGATAGATACAAGTATTTTTTTTTT